GCGGCTGAGAATGAAAATCGACAACTGGAAGATTTGCCACTGGCCGATTTTGGCCGTTTAAAGACTTCTTCTGTCGGCGAGGACAGTCAATAAATAAGAATTTTGTAAATTAAAAAATTACGATCATTGTTGTTTTTGTAATCATGATTCAACGCATTTTTCCATCTTAAGAGTTAGAGTTAACGCTCTGTTCGATTGTTATTCAGGGGATTGTCAATTCGTTTATTTTCATTGACTAATTAATGTAGTCGGCTTTTTCTTCTCAGTTAAGGGCTATTATGTTTATATGATAAACAAAATAATACATGGTTGCTTGTAGATATGGAATTTCTCTTCTCGTGTTCAACTCGACATCTCTCGTTCGCTGCTTTCACTCGTGCGCTATCGGGTTAAACACTCGAAATTGAAATTACGCGCGCCCATGTATTATTATCTATTTATCAGAAATGAATTTGGGTGATGTTGATACAAAGGAAGCGTAAGTTTTGTTTCAACAACCAAAGTGCTCTCCTGTATGATTATGGAGATAGGCAAAGACTTGCTAGAGGCATATTTAGTCGGCTTAAAAAATATAAGTTGTTCTTCGGTTTGTTTGTAGCTTTTACAAACATCTACGTGGCTAGACTCTCCCTTGCACACCTACAGAGATGTCGTCAACCAGTTCACTGAACAAACTTAACCAATTAAACACCACCCAACAATCAAATTTACAGCTTAAATATCATTCTGTTTCAGGAGCCACTTTCTTAGACTCAACTGCCTATAAGAGTGAAAGATTCAACGGGGAGTCAGTTCTCGATAAAAGAACCCTCTTCAAACCAAAAGAGACATTCCAGTACATGTTCTACACAACGTGTCACCCCCTCCGCTGCCCTTTGAACCACTGTTCACAGTTGTTGAGACACGATTCCATAAACTTCGTGGCTTTAGATAAGATGATAGATAGAAAAACTTGAACCAAATGAGGTTACAGAGCAAGAAACATCGTGGCCGGCTATAAGTAACAGCGTGGTTTTCTAGAACCGCTGAGAATCTGACTGACTTTAAAGTTATGTGGCATTAAATTCAAGAGGCAGAATAAATATATCAAACTGTCACCGGAAAGAAGGGTTGGGCAAAGCGGAAGATGCATATTTCCCGCGTTCGTGTATGTGGCATTAAATTCCAGAGGCGGAATGAAAGATATCAAACTGTCACCGGAAAAAGGGGTTGGGAAAAGTGGAAGCTGCATATTTCCCGCGTTGTTGATCACTTGTTTTATAGTTGTTTCAGAGCGCCTTAGAATGATCAGTTCAAGAATGGTTCGCATTCATCTCGTCATTGGATGTTTTAATGTGCTGTGTTTCGGACAAGGCATTCCTCAAGGTAACTATCCTTGGTGGTCCAGGTCATGTCAACTTTCGCGTCGAACCGAAACCGCCAATTTCTTTTCCTTTCGCCTGATTATTTGCTTCTGAGTCTCCTGGATCATGATCAAACGATATCCGAACCGTATTAAATAATAGATCTGATCAAAATGTATCGACCTCTGTTCGGTTCGTTTTCTCTCATAGTATTGAGATTTGCAAATAGTTACTACAGTGATTAAAGGACCACAAAGACTACAACCTTTCTCTAAGCAACGGAGGGAAAAACTTTCAAATCACGGGCTTTTCCAAGTTGCTTTGATATGTCTTAAAACCGTAGGCTTAAGAAGTACAGTTTCACTAACATAGCAAGTAGAGCTCTATACCAACGGGTGTATAAGTGGGTAAGAAAGAAACACTACTTCAAAGTGCACTCACGAACCGTGCCGGAAACTGTAAAGTTGGTTCGGAAGGCGAGGATTGCTGGTTCGATTGCTTGGTAACATACCTTGTTTTTTTCTTCGAAAATTCCTTTTTACCTATTTTTTTCTTTTTTTTGTTTTTCTTCCAAACGATATAATGAACTAGACTTTTAAAACATATTACGCGATGGTGCGATTTCGTGTAATAGCCTTAGGCCTCCAATCGCGCTAGATGGCGAACACACAATTCGGAGAAAATCGGACTGTAAACTTTGACTTTGTTCAATTTTGCTTGTTAGAACCACCGACTCTTATAACTAATCACAGAGAAACGCTTGCCGACCTAACGATAACTGGCCAGGGTATCCAAAACTTCAAAAACGGGCTTGCACCCACTTTCATCAACAAAATTCCAAATTTAGTGAAATAGAAGCCGAACAAGGTCAAATTACAGCCACCTAAAATGTCCATACCTGTGGCCAAAAAAGGAAGTGGCGAGGGTCCTTAAAACATTTATTTGTGATTCAAAATTTCCTTTTTAATGTTATCGTTTTTTTCGCCTCTTCCAGTGTCAGGGAGTGAGTCACTGATAAAATGGCGTCTCTAATGAATATATCAAACCCGGTAGGGTCAGGAAACAGGAAATCGCTGATCGTCAGGGGTTTTCCCCGACATATTAAGCTGAAAATGAAATTCCCTAATGGAGCGGCGGAAATTGCAACTTCCAATCATTGTTTCAAATCACAACACAAACTGTTTGTAAACACTTTCCGGGTGCTTCACTTCCTCTTTACCATTATTAAAAATGGCCTAAGGGTTTATGTTAACATATCACGCGGCGTGCTTCAATAATTTGTCAGTTTGCTTGTGGGAAACAACAGCCTAGAATCTGCAGACCAACCAAACGCGTGCATGTTTCCGTAAATGGGCACACGATCAAAGGCCCTACGTAGAAATAGACAAAGAGAGATGCTTAATTTTAAGGCTGTCCGTGGGGTAAATAAGAATTTATCTTTCATTGACGTGGTTTCAGAAAAAAAAGAACAACCGGAATAATGAAAAAAAAAAGGCAGGTAGCCAAACACTCCGTATTTTCCTTTCTTTTCTGATTAGCGGCCGCACGAATGCTACCCTTGGTTAGTTTTCGAATAGAGTTGCATAACACATTGCATACATTTATAGATATAATTATCTTAATTTTATTCTTATCTTAACATTGTCTTATCTGGACGCGAAAGAAACCCAAAACCCAAGCAGGCGACAGGAAATAATCAGACAAAGCCACCCTAATTCCTTTTAATTAAAATTCTTGAGGAATGAAAAAAACTTGCTTTTTATTGATCAAACTAATGACCCTATACACTAGCAAAGCAAAATCGTGCCGGCCTATCCAAATTTTTGCATGCAACATTCCCCACTCAGGTATTATAGATTTAACTGCAAAATATCTAAAAAGAAAAAATCAAACTAGCGCCGAAATATACCATTCAGCCTTTTCCCACAAAAACAACACTCTCGGTGCCCTCTTGCAATCCATTAAGCCATTCATATTAGGCAAATTACATGATAATATCATTAATCCAAAACAACAAAAAGGTTTAAAAAGAAAGTATATATATATAAGGTATTCTCTCCTTGTACAGACTCCTCCTCTATTGTATTTTGGTAACTCTTTTGTCTTTCATTTTACTTTTTTTTAAAGATTGTTTTTCTCCTTTGGGAATGGAAGATGGAGGTATCAGGGATATAGATATTCGTGCTACGTCTTCTCTGAATGCAAGTGCTAGTGCTATTCATGGTAGACTGAATCATATTGGAGGCTATGGGGGGTGGTGCCCTGATCAGCAGCCGTATTATAATGGTACAGGTCCTATCCATAAGGAGTTTATTCAAGTCGAATTTCCCAGGCCCTTTCGAATTAAAGGCATAATAACACAGCCCCGCGCTCGAGGTGTGGAAGGGATTCGGAGGTTCTTGGTTTCGTACAGACAAGATCAAGAAAACAATGAAAAGTATGCTTGGTTGTATGATGGAAGATCACAAGTCAAGGTAAGTCATTTCAAGGACCTTCATAAGGATGTTTTTCACGAGCAGCCTTAGCTCGCTAATCAATAACGATACTTCTATTCATCGATGCTCTTAAAGAACGATACTTTCGCAACGGTCAAATTTCAGAGATTGCACGGAAATTAACCTCTAATATCGATGGAGTTCCTTCAGTCTTTAGTTGGAGTGGATTTCTGAAGTAATGCTATTGCCACGGATATCAAACTGTTTTCTCATCGGTGATTTTGCGACTAATTTTCAGGACCGGAGTCGGTGATCTTTCCATGTGTTCGACATTTTAGCGTGACAACGACTAGGGGCGCTTTCCATTCGACCAAAATTTTCGAGATTTCCGGTCAGAAATCGAATGGAACGGGAAAAGTTCCGGTTTAAGTTTTCGAAAATTTAGGAATACGTTTTGAGTGTGCCCTCTTGGATGGAATTATCGGAACGTGTGTATTCCATTCGCGACAGATGTCGGTTTTAGTCTTCCTGTCGAACCTGAGTTCAAGTGGATGAATGGGAACAACAATAACTCGCACGTTTCCCTAGTCATCCGGAAGTGGTTCTCATACTTCCCCGACAAATAGACAGGAATTGTAACTTCGAAGAACCCATCAACGTGATTGAATGTTCTCCGCATAAAGCAGGCAATTGCAGCCAGAAGTATTGCATTGTCGTTGCTGTCGAGAATGGTACAGCTCATCATCCCAGAGTAAATGTTTGAAAAGCCCGCCATTTTGAAACACAACAAAGTCCACCCAACATTCCCTGTGACCTCAAAATTTGGGATGCGTTCCATTCGACCACAGGCAGCCCAAGCTTCAGCTGTGAGATAATCATCTTGCGCAATATCAGTCACGACGGAATTATAAGAGTTTGTATGGGAATATTTATGACCGCTCTAAGGAATAAAAAAATACGTCAAATTCTCAATAAAAATACCTCACCTTACTTCCACAGCATATCACTTGTTATCTGACCGCTTACGTTGATAAAAAGAACCCATTTTAGCGAGTTCTCCATTTCGAGGTTTTCTTGGTACGTACGTAGAAAACGAGAATTCCGAAAATTTTGAACCGGTGATTTTCGTTGAATGGAAAGCGCCCTTCCTAACAGCTGACTCGAATGAGTAGTTGGTCACATGAGACAATCAATCTCTTGCCTCCCTGTTATTTGTAAGTACCGTGGTAATATTAAGGTCTTGACTAGCGTTTTTTTTTTTTTTAATGTTTTTCGTTTGTTCTTTTATCTTGTTTGTTGCTTATTTGATTTTTTGCAGTTTAAAGGCACACAGTGTCGTTGCTGCTTTGTCCCAGTGATTAGGTTAACCATTTTATATTTTCATATTTCAGAAGGCAAGGTTGAGAGGAACAGGTTTTTTCTGAGAACAAAAATAATAGCAAATTTCAAATCAAATTGATGGTATCGCGTTTCATGACGAGCTTGAATCCTTTTATGCAAATGACTCTAGGCGAGCTTCTATCTCCGCTTAAGCTCATTTGCATAGTAACCAGATACTTCACACAGGTGACCTCCGAATGATAAACCAGCGAGGTGTGAATTAGTTACACGGATGCGTCTTTCTCCGGAGGCGTCAATCAATTGTGCATTTCTTTATACAATCTATCAGGAATGCGCAGAATCGCCTAAAAGTATTTTTAACCTTTGGCATTTTAAAACTCGGGTTCAACTTAAAAACTTCTTTTTACAGAGTACCCTTTGTGTAAGCATCAGGTGAATGGATTCACACCGAAATACGGGTATTCGAAGCACCCAAGCATCTCGATTGTTTACAGATGATGAACCTTTGGCGTTTCAAAACTCGCGTTCAACTTCAAAACTTCTTTTCATAGTACCCTTGTAAAGACCAGGTGAAACGGATTCACACCAAAATGCGGGTGTTCTAAGCACCCAGGCATCTTAGTTGTTTACGGTAGCTGCTTGAAATGCCGCACTGCGGCATTTCAAGCAGCGAGATTTATCGTGCGTCATCGTATAGCTCTAGACAGAAATCATCAGGCACACAACCTTACCTTAACGCCAAATTGGTCAGGCCAGCGAGTAGAATTTCTTTCTCGCGAAGCAAACACAGTTAAGACCTTACCTTAAGGAAAGAACGATAACACTTTTTTTTGCCGATACCGCCGTACCTTCGTACAGAAATTTGGCGGGATTAAGTTCCCGCGCTTACCTGACGTTTGGGACTTACTAACTGAAATATTATTTCATACTTAAAGAGCTCTTTAGCATAGACGCCAGAAATGTATTATCAAAATATCAACCCAATCATTTCAAGTGTTAATGATACTCCTGTATCTCCAGAACATAATGCAGTCGAAATCTCTCTCGAAAACAAGGTCCTCCCCCGAGCAGCACACTTAAGGGGAAAAGACCATATCTACGCGTGCCGATGTATTATTCTCTGACATGGTTTGATGCTACTCTGGTTTACAGATTTAGTGAATGTAACCGAAGAAGTTAAAATTCAGAGACTCAACCTTTCGACACTTTGGGGCATATTTTCGCCAAACTTAAGGATCCCGTCGAATCGACGCCATTTATTCTATTCCTTGCGATGACTGTGACAACACGAATACATCGGACGAATACATTTACACCTCGTCAGAAAAAAAAGGCAGCTAATTAGTGATCATATAAAAGGACCTCTTGTTGCCGCGTTTAGATCACCCTGATGAATGCACAAGACAGGAGTGTCGAAACGTTGGGTCTATGAATTGTAACTTCTTCGGTTACATTCATTAAATCTGTAAACCAGAGTAGCATCAAACCATGTCTGATTGTCCACCTGGTTGCCGCGTGAACTTTAATATAATGTATTATTCTCTATTTAATCAAATGAGTCGATAATGTGAATTGGCGTCCGTAACGAGATTTTAAGGCTGACGTTTCGAGCGTTGGCCCTTCGTTAGAGCGAATCCTTTCATAACAACTTTACTACCTACCGTGAAAATCATGAAACAACGACTGTTATCGAATCGGGTGTAAGGTTTCAGAAATAGTAAATGTCACTTGTGTAATATCACCGGATATTTCCCGGTGTAACTGAGACCTCGTAGGTCTCGAGATGTATTTAGAAAAAATTTATTTGTGAGCAAGCGAAAATGTTTCATGGCTTATAGTTGGGGATTTGCTAACATCATGCACTGTTGTTGTATATGTCTCAGTTCTTTCAAGGAAATAGCCTGTCGGAGTTGAAACCTCCACTTGTAGCAGACGGAATAAGAATTATACCTGAAATATTTCCTCGCAGACAGGTGTGCCTCAGGTTTGAGCTTCTTGGCTGTCAAATTGAAGGCGGTAAGCTTTTTACTTCAATTAAATAAAAATGATATAAATAATTTATACAATGTTGTTTCTACAGAATATCCAACAGCGCTTTATAAGACTTGAAATTGAATAATGAGATATATGTTACATGATATCATAACTTTCTATAGAGGAAAGGTATCTATCAAGTATCAATTGCTTGAGGAAAGCCATCTGATATTCAACAGAAATTTTCTTGCATTAACGTGATTCATCAGACAAAAAATGTTATGAAACAATTTTTAAAAACTCTCCTTGCATGTTCCTCACCAATGTCGGTTTGGAAAACTACAACAAAAAGAACAGGCCACTGTACCTGCTTTAGTGGTATGGTGGACAGTCTTACTGTATTTATTCATGGTTATTATAATTACAGTCTTACTGTATTTATTCATGGTTGTCATGGACAATCAGACACGGTTTGATGCTACTCTGGTTTAAAGATTTAATGAATGTAACTGAGAAGTTACAATTCATAGACTACACATTTCGACACTCCTGTCTGGTGCCCTCATCAGGGGTGATGAGGGCACCGGACAGGAGTGACGAAACGTTGGGTCTATGAATTGTAACTTCTCAGTTACATCCATTAAATCTTTAAAGCAGACTAGCATCAAACCGTGTCTGATTGTCCACCTGGTTGCTATATGAACCTTAATATGTCCATATATGTTATTTACTAGGAACAAATTATCACGAATTTATCACGAAATATCATTCCCGAATAGTTACTGTCATTGTTAAATGAGAGCCTAACATGACATTTCTATTTATTACTTAATTAGCGATTGTCACGTACAAGATGCTCCAAGGTAACTCTCTGGACGGGAGATACAACTTCACCGATTCAAGTTATGATGGTTTGACTGAAGGCCGCTTTCTATTCTTTGGATTGGGAATGCTTACTGATGGACGATTGGCCAATGAAGATCTTACAGTAAATAACGGATTGGGTTGGATTGGCTGGAACATGATAGAGACCCCCAAACCTTACATAATATTTGATTTTTTGAACAAAAGAATCTTCATTTCAGCTACTTTCCATTGTAACGTCAAAGACCAGACACACATCGAGTTGTTTTCCAGAGTTGAAATAAGGTTTGATAAAACAATGTGGAATGGTTCTCCACCTGATCTCATGCAAGAACCCAGGGAAATTTCCATTCCATCATCAACACCATCGATAAACCGCAATGTTACAATCGACCTGTGTCGCCGTGTAGGGAAGTCTGTAAGGTTCAACTTTACCTACAGAGGACAATGGATATTAATCAGCGAAGTTATCTTCAACTCAGGTAAGTTAAAAGAGCTCTAAAAGAAAATTATCATTCCTGGTTCTATGGCATTTCGCCAACCCTTACGGGTTTTTTCCCCTAAATTTCCGAGGGAGCCTTTGCAGCTTTGTTATCTGTTCCTCTCACCGTCTGGTCGAGACCGCTTTCAAAAAAATGGTTTCTTCGGTAGTGTGGTTTGACGCCACAAGCAGAAAAAGTAAATCAATATTTAATAATTTATGTTAATGACTTTTTTTTTCTTTTTCATTAATTTAATTATTAATTTTTTGATGTGGAAATACAATATACAGTATGTGAAATCAGTTAATGATCAATTTCCATTGTATTGGTTGGAAAAAATTAAATTCAGTTTTCAATTCGTATACTTTGGCTAAATAATCCTTTAATTATAGTTCAAATGATTCTTTAAGGGGTGTCTAATAAAGGTAACATGGCAGTGAACCGCGTTTAGCAGTCCTATCATACTATACTGCGTGTGATTATGTGATTGGTTCGATAATTATTAGACTTGCAGAGTTGGTCAATCTTTATTTCATTGAGATGTATTTAGTCAAATAAAGAAATGCCTATCTTTTATTATTACAGAGCCACTGGGAGGAAGGTCACCTCCAGCAGTTTATTGTGTTTCAAGTACTACACACTCTCAATACACAAGTAGTACCTCGGAATACAGCACAAGTACTCTTAGTAGCACCACATCAACTGAAAGTGAGACATACCAAAATGATTTTATTGTTTACCTTCATAATTATCGTGCCAATTCTGTTGTATTCCCAGTGTCGGTGTTCCAACTGCCTAAAAACCTTTCCAAAAGCTTTTTACAACATACAAATTAATAAATACTCATACCTACCCGACTTTGTCAGAGATATAAAAACAACCAGCTTATTTGCAACTGTATGGCACGTAGTGCCTTATCAGAAAAGAATCAAACACTGAATCAACCAATCGGTCAGTTCATCCGGCGTATTAACAAATAACCAGTCTGTTATCTAGTTACATGGTCTTTCCGTTAGTCAGTTAGTCTGTCTGTCTGTCGGTCGGTCAAATAGTCAGTCGGCGTGTGCTACAGCCAACTAAGCTGCTATCATCTTCTACAGAGCGACTATTGCTATTACAGAAAAGAAGCCTGAAAAATTATTTTCTGTACTTGGTAAAATTGCAGCTCATCTGCGAGGAACGTTGTTTTACTTGATTTTCATCCGCTGATCAAATGAAATTTAGTTCAGTTAATTAGATGATGCAAGGATTTTAAGTAATTGAACAGATTTAACAAAAAGTAACGATCTGTTTTCATTCAGTTGTAAAATGTTGGTGCAGCCACATAGAGCAAGTCATCGTTTGTGTAGCGAGCTCTATTAATGAGTCATTCTTTCTTTTTTTAGCCACCGTTGCTCCATCGGCCGAGGGACCTGATTGGGTGATGTTGATCTCATCTCTGACAGTGCTCTTCGTCATTGTAGTAATCCTCGGTATTGCTTGGTCATTCCGACGGAAGAGACGCCAGAAAAAAGGTAATACATGTATCACAACCTGTCAGTTCCTTTTCAAAATAAATGGATGGCAAGAGAAAAATTTCGTTCAATTCGGATGTTCAATCTATTTCAGAATACAATTTTGTAGACAAAATTACCTTGAAGATATAAAATGATCTCTAACTTGCAAGGGTACTTTCAATCAAGTGTCTAAACTAATCCAGGATTACGTCGTTTTGTTTCCCTTCACTATCTTCATTATTCAAACACAAAATGGACCCTGCACAAATCAATCCAATCAATTTGGATAGTTTACCGATCTTACTTTCTTCTGGTGAGCCATTGTGATTGCTTTAGCTTTGCTTTCGAGACTCTCCGATGAACTGCGCTTGTCTAAAATAAAACCATGCTATTGAATCCACACGACCACATTATCTCCCTCATTGATAATGGTAATAGGACCGAGTGGAGTCCAATTCGGTCTGTAATCATACGAGTGATTAACAAAATCGAACGACCACGAAGGGGGAAACTATGACAAAATTTTATAAAAGAAACTAGACATAAAATATACGTTTTCATAAAAAGGCAATTAACTCGGCGAAATGCGAGGCAACAGCGCACGCACATGAAGCGTTCTGTCCATTAACATAGGCATGATGTGTTAACTGCCCCTTTAACTGTCCAACTACACTGTCTGATTACGCAATCAAGATACAGAAGAATCTGTCCGAGATGAATATGAAGAAATTGAGCTGTCTCTACCCACGATAATGGTATGTTTATGTTTTCATTATAAGGGAAGATTTCACTCATTTCGAAAAATTAACAGTTATTCATCACCGAGGGGGAGGTAAAGATCCAAAACTTTCACTGACACTGAGGTGTATAATCACTGAATACAGGAGATGATAATCTCTTGTTTTAATACATAATTATGCTTAAAGATCTACGTTTGTGTATTGTTGATAACGTGTCGATGGAATCTTGGCGAGGTGTCGGTGGAGCGTTCATAGTTTGTCAGCTATTATCATCTTTCACACATCCTTTTAACCAGGTCGATATTGCAGTAGTTGTTGAACTCCTCAGCATTTTCATGAAAGACTTAAGACTTAGAATCTGGACTTGGCTAGAGTCGATTGTGCTCGTAAAACTGGCATATTATGCTCCTAGCACTGCTCAAAATTTTCGAAATTATGCTCCTGGCATCAAAATTATGCTACTTGATTTTTAAGCAAAATAAAGGCAGAGCACCGGGGTAAACATAAAACAAACAGCAACTGATTACTTATCTGGTAACTGCAGCCCATTATTTTAATAAACCAATTTTCAAACATTGTATCGTTGCACGTTTCCCCTGCATTTATTCCTCAGAATCGATAAACATGCTGCTCATCATTTTTCAATCAATGGAGCTTCTTGAGTCAAAGTAAGGATGCAGACTTAAAATTAAGTAAAAATGCAGATTATGCCGGCAGTGCTTTCTTTGAAAAAAGTTAAAAATTATGCTAAAAATTATGCTGGCACAATCGACTCAAGCCTAATCTGGACCCAGGGCTTATCATCGCCGTATGAAACTTTGATTAGTACCCCAGGGGTCTTTCACCCCTTTTAAGAGAAATGATAAGGTTATATTTTTTGTTATTGCCCTCGTTCACAAATCGGTTAATAAATCTTGTATTTATTATACACGTTTTGTTTCTGTGTTTCCCCTAGGTGCCTGGCGACAGTGCCCAGACTCCTGTATATGCCCAAGAACACACCCAGGCTGAGAGTCAGTGAAGAACGTCTTTATTTTGCTCAAATTTTTTTTCGGTCGGAATATGTAAATATATACACGCGCCTCACTGATGCCCGCAATACTAACTTGTCAGCTGACAATTCGCGCGCTATGCGTCGCTTTTGAAGTCTGAAAAAGATGACAATGGCAGTAAATACGTTAATCAAATACAAGCTTTGAGGCCACGTTTCCCGAGACACGATGAAATTTAATCAGCATTGGTGTGACTCTTTTCGTTTTACAGCCTCTCTATTGGTGTAGATTTTTATTTTTCTATGATTTTCTTTTGATTAGGGTGGTACCGTACGATTTGTAGAGAAATCCATAAAGAGCAAATATTGCCTTTCGAAACCTATCGACATCATAGATTGCACTCTCAGTGGAACATTATTCTCGAGCTTTAAAATTAGCAGTTTCTGTGGGGGTAATCTAATGTTCCATCCAGTTTTCCTCAGCCTTTTTGCGGCTTCTCTGAGAAACGAGCGTAAAAGAACGGGTAACTGGTGACGAGGATAAAGCATGTGGGACCTTGAACACTCAGTACACACCCAGTGATTTTAGCCGAAAGACGTTTAAGATTTACTGTCACTGTTGCTTTTTAGTCAGTCTTCATGCGCCTTTTGAAGACATAAGACATAAGACATGAATCATTTTTATGGGTTGTAGCTTAACAATAACTTTTCCTTTACGGTTGATTGAGAAGAATTATGGTGTGAAATTTGAGTTTATTTCCTTTGTTTGGAAATCGAAACGAATCACAAAAATGATTTTCTTTCTGAAGTAGCTAACATTGTAGCAAACAGTGAATGATTTTTTACCACTCAGAATACATCCCCGAATTGAAATGCCTGGCCCTCTGCTTAATATTCAAGGAACAAAAAAGTATGACACATTGCACAGAAATTAATGACTTCCCACTTGTATTTCAGATTTATGGCTGCTTTAGCACCACTTTCAGGGGAATTCGGAGCGATTAAATGATGCCTGATGTTCCAAGTCTTCTGCTTCCTTGGCATGGAACCCCAGCGTAGTCACCGTCTGAAGATGATCACCAAAAATTTCACATCTAAACTCTAGAGCCTACATTATTAATGATTCTAGTGTCTTACTGTAGTCACCGATAATGTCAGTGCTGAGGTTCAGCAAGGCAGTGTTGCGTGAGGTCTAGGGCTAGATGCAAACCACTTACAATGCATAATAAATAAAAGATCGTTTTGAATCAGTTTGAAGGTGCTTCTATGCAATTTCGAATCATAAGGTAACTATGAAGTATTAACAGTAAAAACCTGGTTTCATGACTGCGCGGTTAAACTCCTGAGTTGAATCTAAAGACGCCAAAAGTTAATCACACCCCGTATTTAGATGTCGCGGTAAAGACCGAGTTAAAATGTTCCAAGCACATAGCATCAATTTCAAAATCTGATAATAAAATTTGGGCTTGGTCATGTAGAGTATTCTAAATTACCCGAAAAGAAAATATGTTGGCCATTGTATGATCCAAATTAAAATAACCTTGCACCTCTTGGGACCTGCAATAGAAGAAAACACAGAACAAGTCCAGAGAAACGAGAACCGTACTCTTTGAGAAAGTTGCGTGACATCTAAAAGAACGACTGCGAAGAACGCTGACTGACGACCAGTAGGAGAGGTTCACAGTCCTCAGTTTCAGTGACGCAGAATTTCTTAAGTTGCCGCTCGCTTTTAAGCTAGCACACTGCTGGAGACCTTGCTTCCCTGTGCCAAGTCGCTTGGAAACCGGGTTATG